TCATCAGAGTATGAAGATTTCTGTCTTCTGGATTGTTGCGCTGTGTAGTCTGGTCGATGTTAACCAACGTTTCAGAGGTCAGTGTGTTCATGTTATGTCCAAAATCTTTGTGAGATGGTAGCTATGTGGAAAAGTTTAAACTCTTGGAATGATGGCAACAGATCAAAACTGCAGTCACATAGAAATTAAAAACAGATTGAAACTGTAAATCTGATAGCAAAAATGTGAAACATTAAAATACAGAAGTAGGAACTGGACTGAATATTTCTTGTATCTGGGAAAAGCCCCGATACACATTCCACTACCTGTTAAAACAGGGATAAGTAAAAGAACAAATGTAAGATATTTTATTCTTCTTCTTTGATGATTAATGAATTCTGCAGCAAATTTAACATGAATTTTGATGAAAAAGAAATTCAACCTTTACCTACCTGCTTCTCAGTCATCTAATTTTATGACAATTATAATACCATTAAGAATTAAAAAGTAGAAATTCTGCATTAGAATAATGACATTCGAATATGCCTACATATATACACACCCATTTTGTGTGCTGCTATTACTCACACACACAGACCCTCTCACTCGGCTGCCTGCATGACTTGTTCATTGATCCTCATCTTCTACCAGTAGATTATTCACTGCTTGTACTGGCTTAGAACAACATTTATGTATCACATTGCTTGTTTTAACACTCATGATCTTGCTTACCACCAATTCAACAACACTTTCTGTAATGTCCTGCTTTTCACTTTGATTACAACTGTGCAAGTTGTTACAGAACTTGTGTTTATATAAGAACACGCATCACACTATATGTTTCGGGAAACATCTCACTCACTGTAGTGACACCATTCCAGTGTGTGTTTCCAGAAGGCGATTAGACACAGAAGCGAATGATCAGTTAAGACATCGTAAGAAGCAGCTTGACAAAAATACACCTGAACAACTACCAAAATCGGTGTTACAGGAAGGACGATGACAAATGCAATTTTTTTGTTCGTTTGAGTGTACTTTTCCCTGGTTTCGCATTCCACTGAAAATATCTCCAATACAGCACTGCCTTATGGATGAGTTCACTTATAAATGAAGAAACAGTTGGCAATGTTTTGCTGGTACACTTATTGTTTTCTTGCCATAAACACTTAACACTATCCTTCCCCATCATCACATCGACACTTAACACTGCCCTTCCATATCACACAAACAACTGACACTGTCTTTCCCCATCATCACACAAATGCTGCTGATTCTGATTATACGCACTTGTATCTGTGCGTACTTAACTTCCCAACTCTGTAACCAGCTTGGCAATTGTATCCAAACTCAATAGCATTTGCACACTCAAAGAAAGTATGTAGAAAAAAGATTGATTATGAAAGTCCACCAGCCCTGTCAAACAGAAAACAAAGGGGGGGGGGGAAGACAGATCTGTAACTGTTCTATGAAAACTCTTGGAATTTTACTTGTTAATACATGTAACTTATTCCTGTTAATGTTTCCATTTTCCAATCAGTGCCCTGCCCAGTAGCAGGGTCATTTACTGTGAATGTCTGGAAACAAAATGTCACCACTTATGCCAATGACCCCAAGTTCCTCACCAAAGCAATATGGTGGTTTCTTACCTAGATAAGTTTTATTTGTTAGCAGAGAAGTTATCTACAGTATTTTTACAAATGAACATTTCAGAGAGTTGTCTGTATAGCCAGTGAAAACAAAATGGCACGGCTCTCTATGGGAATTGATTATAATTCTTGGTACATTTGGAAAAAATGTTTGTAGACAGCAAATAGCTGGGATGTCATTTTATTGGGGGATTCTCTTTGAAATTACATAAGAGTTTCTCTCCTGAG